AGAAGAATGCCACTTCATCATCACCACCATCACAAAATAAGGAGACTTGAGTACACGGGTATGGGCACTCCCCTTGGCTTTCGCTAAGCTTGGGGGAGATGCCCTGGTATCGTATCACCATCACTTTTATTATCTTTACCTATCTTAGTTTGATCCTTAGTTATTTCGTGATCTATAAGAATAAAAGTTTATTATGATCTATTTTTGAGTGCTAGTTTCATGATATATCCATCTATGTAATCGAGTGAGAGTTATATAATAAATATTAGTTTTAGTTTTTGCTTCTTTACTTTTATGTTTCAATCAAAATAAAGAAAATAATGAAAAAGATAATATGCTAATCTTATGGAAAGCAATGACATTACACAAGGAAAAGTATAAGGCCCCGTTTGGTAGCGAAGTATTTTCTAAGCATTTTGAGAATACTGCAGTTTTTTAGATTACCACGGTTTTATCTACAATGAGCTGTTTGTTAGCACCTAACAACTGTTGTTTTAATATTGTAGTATTTGGCAAACCGTAGTTTTTTCTCTGTTTAATAAAAAGAGCCCCCGACCTATTTTTAAAAAACAGAGCAGGGGAAAAGAAGGGAGTCCCCTCGTTATCCTTCCCCGCTCCTCGCTCTGGCTCGTTCTCACGCCGCCGCCGCCGCCCTGTCGTCTTCCAGGTGTGGCCATGGGGAAACAAAGAGACAGCAATGGAGAGACCAAAGGTGATTACTCTGCCCTCCATCCTCCCTCATCGCTCCTCCCGCATCTCCCCGCCAACCGCCGGCTCCTTCCTCTGCACGGCCGTGCCGTTCTCCACTGTGCATGCCGCTGGTATCTGCGAACAGCGCCGCGACGCACAATCTCCTCGATGCCGTCTGGCCTTGCTGACGAGAAGGCCGTCCCCGATTCAGGGGCAGAGTAGATTCTCCTTGGATAGATTGAGAAGCTTGCGTAAGGCTAGATGCAATCTAGATGATCTGAGCTCGGTGATAGCTTTATGTAGTAGCCTAAAATATGGCGTAAGACAGTCTGCATCGCTGCGATTTTGCAGATATATGTGTGTTACAGAACCATTCACTACTAGGAAAAGGGCTATAGATGGAAATGACACTAATGGCGCACCACCTTCTGATGCGCCATTCGTGTTGAAACTACTAATGGTGCACCTTGACCACGGTGCGCCATTAGTACCAATTTTTTTTTTGAACTAGTGCGCCTGTCCAAACATACTAATGGCGCATCCCCTGGTGGTGCGCCATTACTAGTTGTAACTAGTAATGGCGCACCAGCCAGAAGGTGCGCCACTAATGTTATTTTTTTATTATTGCTTTTATTCCTTTTTTTGCAAAAGTTCTAATGGCGCACCACCAGGGGGTGCGCCATTAGTAACCTGGATTACTAATGGCGCATTTGTTGCTGGTGCGCCATTAGTAAGTGGGCAGCAACAAGATATTTTGGACAGCCTCTCCTCCCACACTCACTTTCTCCCCACTTCATTCTCTCCACCGCCTCCTCCTTGTCCCGGGTGCCTCCTCTTTTTCACCTCATTTCCACCATAGATTCATTCAAATTAAGTGGTTAAGTTACCTTGTTTTGCTAGGTAAGTAAGGGGGGAAGCTATATTTATGTTGTTCTCCCTACAACAATGTGCACATGCACTTTTTATGGCCTAGCTAGATCTATGTAAGTTCGTGGTGTTGCATATGTTTGTGGTGTTGCATATGTATTTGTGTTTGGAGGTGTACCGGTATTTGAAATGCGATAGTTGCCAATATTTTGCCGGAATGTTGATTCATTTCCGTTTCGGCGAGAATTTTGGCATTAAGCATTCTTTTTTGTCCTATTTTTAGGGAAAGTCATGCCAAATTTTTTCTTGGTTCTAAAATATCGTTTTGCTCTACCCCGCAGGCGACCATGGTCCGCACGATGACCGAAGGCATCGTGAATAGGTTTTTGAGGTCCGCGAAGGCCGAGATGCTTCAAAAGAACGAGACGGAGATAAGATGTCCGTGTCGAAGATGCAAGCTGAATAGCCTTATTGCGGACCCGGATTCCGGGCAAGTGCGGGACCACCTGCTCTTGCGTGGTTTCATGGATGGCTATCGGTGGCAAGGTGATGAAGATGACTACGAAGTCGTCCATGGGGGCCGGGCAAGAAATGAGGAAGGGCAGCAAGACAACCACCGTGGCTCGGGGGGGCGAGAAGACGAAGAATCCCCAGGAGATGATCACGACGGTGATGCTGTACACAGTCATCATGTAGAAGATGCAGGACATGATGATGATGCCGGCGGAGCAGACGACGCTGGACCATCGATGGGCTGGGTGCAGGACCCTCATATTCAAGAGCTGCTTCTCAAGCAGACGGATAACGCAAGATATGACATCCACACTATGTTGAACCTTCATCCGCTGCACTACACCTTCGTTCGGCTATTTTCGCTGAGTATGGAGATGCGGATCATTCGTGACAAGACCCCGGACATCGTGATAGTTGACCCCTTCTACATGCGTGCCAAGATCTTGGGCAGCGCTGGGGACCGGCAAGTCGCGAGTTCTTACCTCAAAGGCGTCATTCTGGCAAACCAAGATAAGGATAACTTCCTCGTGCCTTACTTTCCCGAGTAAGTCCTCCCCTCAACCGTCCCGTAACATATGAATTCTTACATTTTGATCGTTTTTCTTTTAACATTCCATGTTTTCTGCAGTGACACACGTTGCACGCTCATCCTCCTAAGCCCCAAATATTCCATGGCCACGTATTTCGACACGGACCGTCAGTCGAACGTAGACTACACAAATGTCAAGAAGGTTCTTGACGATGTTCTCCCCGGCTACGCCCAATCTGGAGGCACCTTCACTAGGCCTATTCGTAAGTACGGCAAGCACGTGTTCTCCCACAATACGACGTTCTGCTGCGTCAAGCAGCCGCCTGGCGGTCAGAAGGGTGCCTACTACGCCATCCATCACATGCGGGCGATCGTACGGGACCATCATCAACTTCTGCTACCGAGTAAACTCAAAGATTGGGCCGCGAGCGTGTCGGCAATCCAGGACGCGGACCTCCAACAAGAATTCTTTCGCATCCAGTCGGAGTTTGCGGAAATCATCCATCAAGATGTCCTTCGTACCTCGGGGCAGTTCTACCTCAGAAATCAACCGTCCAACAGTGACATCGACACAATGCTACAAATGCAGGATGACAACGCCCGTTCTTTCATGACTCCCACGATAGACGGCGGCTTCATCCACGCTCCGGTCCCTTGAGTCGAGTTGTCTAGTTCTGAAACATCGATTGGTTCATGTTGTAATTAAACTTTAATGAACTTGTAGTATGTCTCTTTGGTTTCGAGAGTCGTTCAACTTAGATGTAATCGATGCTATTAATGTCTTGCTTTTCTCTTCCGATCGTTCTGTTGCATAATTATATATTGCTTATGTATTGTCTGTGAATTGGTACTAACGTTTCGTTTGGCTAGTGCATAGCGATGCCGACGTATGTCGTGTACAAGGGTAAGGTTCCCGGAGTCTACGATGACTGGGAGGAGTGTCGGAGACAGGTTCACCGATTCAGCGGTAACAGTTACAAAGGGTACACCACTAGGGCCGAGGCCGAATCTAGATACGCCCGCTATCTAGCGGGAGAGGGGAGGGAGCGTTGGAGGAACCGAATGAAGACGAGTTTCATCGTGATGATGCTCATCGTGATGACCGCAACTCTCTTCTATGTGATGGTAGTTTAGATGATCGATATCGACTTGTAATGTGAAGACAAACTCGCTACTCGCGGTCTCGAGACTTGTAATATAATGTTCTATCTTTGTTCGGTCTTTTTAATTCGGAGACTAATATGATGAATTGTATTCAAAGACTAATCTTCTATTGTATTCGATGAATCTGTTGTTGATGTGTGCTGTCTATATTTTGTCAAATTATACATTTTGTAACCTGTGCAAAAAACAGAAAATAAAAAAATAAAAAAAACCTAATATTCATACTAATGGCGCATCACATGACAGTGCGCCATTAGTATGACAGTGCATACTAATGGCGCATCACAGGGTAGTGCGTCATTAGTATGCCGCGGTTACTAATGGCGCATCCAGTGGTGGTGCGCCATTAGTATGACAAAGTACCTGGGTATACATGGCCCCTGGGAGGCATACTAATGGCGCACGCTGGCCTATACTAATGGCGCACCCACGGTGCGCCATTAGTATACCAGATACTAATGGCGCACCAGGTGGTGCGCCATTAGTAAAAATTACTAATGGCGTGCTGTTAATGGCGCACCACAGATGCGTCATTAATGGTCATATTAGGTGCGCCATTAGTAGGGGTTTTTCTAGTAGTGATTGGCTATCTAGGTCGGCTTATATCTGAAGCCAAAAGAATGTAGACAGCCAAGCTGCTGCTTGGTCGGCTTATAAGGCTGCGATTTCAGAAATATGTATGTTATAGAGGCATTGCCTATCTAAGTTTTAGCTGGGTCACCATCTTACAAATTTTGACAGCCAATCAGGCTGTGGAAGTGTAAATAGACTGTCTAAGACAAGCAGTAGAACCCCAATCTCGCTGTTGAAATGCACAACAGTCATACCATAGCGATTTTGCTGTTTTTCATTCAGACAATTCAGATTCCAGTATCCCTATTCGAACCTGATTCTCAAAAAAGACAAACCACACCTGGTACTTTTAGCAGGGGGTAGGGGCTAGAGGTGACAGTTCATTAATTTGTAGCATGCACTTTGTAGCTAGCGTGTTTTCGGCCCACCCATAACAATTTTGTTCTATCATGAGCAGTTGCTCACTACAGATTATTGCATAGCTCCACGACAGCCTACAAGCCTGCGTACATTAGGATATAGTATTTTGTTTTGTCAATGTAATCCATGGTGTGGCGTCATGCACGAGATATTAAGATTTACTGAAGTTGATTTGTTTTAACCATATATTTATGATAAATCTGATATTTGTTGATTTCGAGTAGGGTCCTTGTCTATTTGCCTGATGTTTTGCTTCCCAATTGCAGACAAGAGAAACAGAGCATCATGGACAACTGCTCAACTAGACCTGCTCGTTTCTGTGATGAAAGAGTATGCAGATGCTATTAGATTTCGCGGTCAGAATGGATGGACCAAAGAAGGATGGAATAGCATGACTACATGCTTGAATAATCAGTTTCCGAGAGCTAATTTCATTGTTTCTCAACTAAAATTTAGAGAGCAGCGGTTGAAGAAAGAATATTTTGTTGTCAAATCTATTGCAGAGAAGAGTGGCTTCGGTTTTGATCCTATTACAAAAATGCCAACAACCATTGATGAAAAGTGGGATGAATTGAGCAAAGATCAACAGAAGTGGAGATACAAAGCTTTCCCTTACTATGATGATTTGCATGCAATTTATGATGGTACGTTGGTTTCACATGTAATGAATTCAGCATATGATCTTGCTTGCTTGTAGTTTACAATATATTCCTATGTACACAAGTAAAACAGCGGAGGGGAAGGGTTGTAAGAGGACAATTGATCAGGTTGAAGAGAAGTTCAGTCCGGCTACAGATTTTTCACAAGGGGAAACCTTCACCCAACAGGTTCTAAATGCCGCTGGGCTTAATTCGCCTAGTCCAACATTACCTGCTCTAGGCTTTGAAGATCAACATTATGAGTGGAGTAAAGGCATATATGATGACGATGTTGAAGTATTTCCTGTTAAAAGAGCAGAACGTATGGAAAATAATAGTAATCATTTTCCCACGGAAGACATGAACACACTTCCTGACCCACCACCTATGAAAAAGGCTAGGACTTCTAAAGGCAATGATGAAGGTAAGCCTAAGAGAGGCAAAGACACGGCGATTGAAGATCTGGTTGCTGTTAGAAAAGAAGAGCTTAAAACCTATGTGGATGTGAAGACGAAGCAAATTGAGAGCTATAGAGAAATGAAAATGGTGCAGATGGAAAAAAAAGATCCTGACAAAGATCCTTATTGCATTGCCAATTGCATTGTCAAGCTTAAGAGCATACCAGATCTCTCAGCAAGTGAACATCTGAAGATGATCCAGCATCTGAAAGGAGAAAGAGTTGACCGTGAAATCTTCATGACAGTCGAGCATGATGTCGTTCTGGAGATCCTCAAGGAAGTGCTTGGCCGTCAAATTTAAAGTAGAAATTCCTTCTAGGTATTTTCATCTGAATAAAAAAATTCTTTGATACTCTATTATTGGTTTATTGGTTCATACTACTTTAGGTTAATTTTTTTGTTAAAAAGATGTCATTGTGCACTGTACCATGAATAAAAAGAGGAGCACGAATGTATCTCAACATAAATTTGTTTCAGCACTAAACTTGGTTTTGACGGCACTATGTTTCCTTACATAAAAGCACAGTCCTTCAAATTTTGTTAGTTCTGCCATGTTATTTGTACAGGACACAAAAACTCATATTTGCTGCACTAGTTGATAGTTGCATTTTACATTACATATCTTCTCACAGAAATGTGAAGTACATTATTAATGAATGAGAAAGCTACTACAATATTTTGATAAAAATATTCTACTGATCGTTTTATTCTAGCTTCAACAATTGCACAAGTCATGTGCTATTTCTTCTACCGCGCTCCTGCAGATACTCACAGTAGACTTTCCACATTGCTTCAGCAATTTGATCCCTTTTTGAATGACCTAATGCATGCCGCTCATTGAGATATTGTACATCACATCTGTATTTTGCATCCCCACTTGGAATATCAACTATATGTGTTGGGTCAATATTGGAGCCAACCTGGTCAAACCATTGTTCTCCCCCCTCATGATTGCGAATAAAGTTATGAAGTGCACAACATGCTATGACAATATCAGGTTGAGATTCAATTGGGTAATGTGAAGCACACTTCAATACTGGGAAACGCTTCTTCACAACGCCAATGATACGCTCGATGTGATTACGTAGTTGTGCATGCCTGAGATTGAATAGCTCTTTAGCATTTTGTGGCCTTTGGTTGCATCTAGCTTGCTTGTTCAAATGGTACCTGTAATTTCAGAAAGGTAATGAAGATGTGTGTATTATAGTAGTTGGCCTAATAGAAGAACTTGGCTGTACCTGACATTTCGGTAGGGTACAATGAAATTAGGTGTATTTGCATATCCTGCATCAACCAAATAAAATTTTCCCTCTGGCACATAGAAATTGTTTTCTAGTGCATCTTGTAGAACTCGAGCATCAGAAGCTGAACCTTCCCAGCCCGCACTGACATGGACGAATTGATTATCAAAATTACACGCCACCATGACATTTTGTGATAATGTTCCTTTTCTATTGCGATATGGGTCTTGTAGTCTCGGAGATATGCTAATCGGAACATGCGTCCCATCAATTGCTCTGATACAATCCTTCATAAAGACAGGAAATACTGATGACAAATATGTAACAATATTTATAAATTATATGTAAGAACTACAATATGCATACCTGAAAGTACGGCATAAATTTAGGGTTGCTTGAAACCTTTCGAGGGACATTAATTGGTGGCAACTGTATGAGCTGTCCAGATAGTGACATGATACTTTGTAGCACTTTATTGAAATAGATACTTATGGTTTGACCACTATGTTGAAATCGCCCTTGCAGAGTATGGTTGCTTGCATTCGCCGAAAGGGTATATAAGAATATTGCTACTTGCTCTTCCACGGAAACAAGCCTCTCATCTTGTAGAAGTTGTCTCTCTCGGAAGCACTTGACCAAATTATGGAATACATATTTTTCCATTCAAAAATCTCTTTTACATCTCAATTCATGACCCTCCAAAACTTCTCTCACGTACTTGTGTCCCGTAAGGATGGAAGTGTGAATACGTTGGCGATTGGTTAAACCTCTCTCGCCTGTGTATACGGCTTTGATGATGGCTAACTCATCATCTTCTCGGTGTTTACGCTTCAAAAAATCCCCCCACATTGATGGAGCAACTAGAAGAACTTACAGAGGATAGAGACGATGCAAGTATCAATTGAATGCACGACCGTGGCCACGCGATTCAAGTTCTCGCGCAGCTCTTCGTGCCCCTCGACAGTGACGCAGATGACTGGCCAACAACGGCACGTGGTGGGTCACCGCCTGAACGCGTAGCTCCGCTACGCCTCAATGGTGGCTCAAAGAAGGGCAAGCCGCTCCGTCTAGCTGTACCTTCACCAGCAGGTGAGTCACAGGAGACGCCGTGCCATGGGTGGTCTTCTTTGTATACACAAGCTAGCCGTTCGGTTGTTATGCACGCTGAGTAAGGAATATCCAGCTAGCTAGCTACAAAAGCTCAACAGAATAGTATTCAAACGTCGGCCAGCTGCATGTCCTTCCACTGCTAACGGCTAGGTAGCTGACTATTTGTACGCAACGGCTAGGCAATAATACTGTGTTTTGTAACAACAACCAAACAGGTCACAATAATCTCAATACTTCAAGATACTTTGGTATTATCAAAACTGTGGTATCTTGTACCCATTGAAAAAAACACTGTGGTTTGTAATACTTCAGTTTTTCTAATGTTTTGCTACCAAACATAGCCTAAGTGGTAAAATTTATTGGCAGTTGAGAAACATAACATTGGTCAAAGATGCAATTCCTGAAAGAATTAATAAGGGAAGAGAAGATTCACATGCAAATATACTATCCTGGACATATTTTATGATTGTGAGCTCCCATTAAGTATTTTATGTCAAATTGTTGATGTTGGACAAGGAAGAGAACGTAATGATTTATATTTGTTCATATTCAAACAGAAGTTATATTGTCATAGATCCTCCAAGATGCGGTGCTTGCCCAATATCTTTGCTAGCCAAAAATCTGCAATAAGTAGAGATACTACTTGTGAATCCAAAAACCTTGAACCCAAATTCATATTTCGAGAGTCCACCATACCTACCTATGGATTGAATAAGATCCTTCAAGTAATTTTTCATCGGTGCATAAGGCAATACAAATTGCTTCTAAAAATGTTTGATCTTTTATTGTAAAGGAAAATAAGCGTTGTATGAACTTGTGATGGCAAAGTAATAAAAGCGACGGACTGCATAATAAAGGTTGTTATCATAAGGGGGAATATAGCATGACGTTCTTTTGCATTAAGAGATTGTGCATCCAAAATAATGAAAAGTTCATGACAACCTCTCCTTCCCTCTGCGAAGGGCCTATCTTTTACCTTTATGCATTTACTTTTTATGCAAGAGTCAAAGTGTTCTCCTCTATTCATTTTTTCCTTTTCTCTTTTGCAAGCATCATGTGGTGGAGAAATATCTAGGCACATATATCCAGTTGGATATGACTGATCATGAGTTATTATTGTTGACATCAACCTCGAGGTGAATAAGTTGGGATGCAAAACTATAAGCCCCTATCTTTCTATGTCTCTGGCTAAAAAATTTTGCTCCATATATATGTTGTGAGTGTTAGTAATCATAGAAGTCTAAATTATGGTTGAGTATGTGGACTTGCTAAAAAGATCCGACATGAGACCCTTCCTAAAAATATGATGAATTGCAATTGCACTGTTGACTGAGAACATAGTTTGTTAGTTTTCAGGAAAGTTTATGCCCTATACTTCAAGGTTGTGATGAATTGTTACTTGCTCATGAGAAGTGTTATGATAAAGTTTGTTGTTGTTCTAATAATGATCATGATGCTACTATGTCTTTATTTTGTTTTTATCGACACCGCTCTCTCTAAACATGTGGACCAGAGCGGCGGACACCTGCTTGGGGTTGACCTCGACAGATCGGTATGATCTAAGGTAATTAGCGTGTCTATCCATGCGACCCGGATCAGCACCTGCCGAACGGAATTGATTTCTCACAGGGCCCGTTTTCTGGTTGTTGGACGCGAAGGTCTCGTAGATCTTCAGGACCTCGTCTTCTTCCGAGGTTTGTTCAGTGCGGTGGGGGGTGCCCGCCAGGAGGGCAAGTCCCCCTTTGGCCACCTGCCTCAATACCCGACAGTCGCGAAGGCTGTGAGTCGGGCAGGAGTTGATCAGAATAGCGTGGATTTGGTATGGTTTATCCAAAAAGCCGTCCAGGGTTGTCCCGGGGTGACCGGAGGTTTTCTTCTTCTTCTTCCAAGGTCGTTCACCCGGGGTGTTCCATTTACGAGGCTCACGCCAAGGTACTGATTTGTCATGTTTCAAATTGTCTTCACAAATCAAATCCGTGTTCTCTTAGGCGAGCCAGGCGTCCTCAATGGCACAAAATTGGGACATTAGATCGGATAATTATGGGAGTGCTTGAACCTAGCGATGAGTAAGGGCATTCGAAACGCCTTTATCCTTGCATCCTCACTTGAAAGCTGTGATTATGTCAAACTCCAGGTAATTCGATATCTTGTCTTTGACTGACAAAAATCTAGCACACAACTGCCTAATTGATTCGCCGGGGAGTTGTTGCACGTAGACCAGATCCCAGACGTCTGGTGGGCCGGAGTTATCAGGGCGATACTCTATATGGGAGGTGAGTGGACGAGTTCCAATCTTTAAGGATCGTGGGTCCGAAACCCCATTATTCTCATCCGGTGTCGGATCAGTGGCCATCGGACCAGCTAATCTGATTTGAAGATCAGCCTCCTCGATTGCCTCTGGTAGGCCGCTGTCTGACTCACTTTCCAAAAAGTACCTCGGCCCCTCATCTTTGGGGGAATCCCCTGCAGGAGCCGGAGAGGGGTCATGCCTTGCCTCAGATTTATGTAAGGCATCTTTATGACCGAAGCTTCATGCATGGAGATCAGCCCAACAAGTTCAGGGCCATTGACTGGTGATCTCATCGATCCTTTTGTCTACCTCACATCGGAACTCTCAATGAAAGCACCAGTGCCGGTATCAAAACCGAAAGACCTCGGGGTAGGGGATCCCGAGCTATGGATCTCGCATGGATGGTAAGAGGAATAGAGAGACAATGTTTTACCCAGGTTCAGGCTCTCTTGATGGAGGTAAAACCCTACATACTACTCTTGTTTATATTAATGGAGATGTATCAAGTACAGAGTTGATATACCTTGAGATCGTAACATGTGGTCCAACTCTAGGGCTAGGTGAATGATATTGTGTTGATGTCCCCTCTACGGGCTAAACCCCACGGCTTATATACATGCCATGTAGGGTATCTAGTGTTACAAGGTTGGTATCTAGGAG